CAAACAGTGAAAATGTGTATTCAAGAAATGATCTAAGTGCTTACCTCAGGCTAGGCACTGTTTGGTATTGAGGATACACTGGTGAACAAAACAGATGTGGTTAGTTGGGCACGGTGGCTCCCACCTGTAATCCCAGCATTCTGGGAGCCCAAGATAGGCGAATCACTTGAGGCCAGGAGTTCAAGACCAGACTGGCCAACATGGCAAAACTGTCTTGACTAAAAATTTAAAAATTAGCCAGGTATGGTGGTACACACCTGTAATTCCAGCTCCTCAGGAGGCTGAGGCACGAGAATCACCTGAACCCAGGAGGCAGAAGTTGCAATGAGCCAAGATTGCACCACTGCACTCCAGCCTAGGTGACAGAGCAAGACTCTGTCTCAAAAAATAAACCAAAAACAACAACAACAACAAAACATGTGGCTACTGCCCTCAAGAAGCCTGATTTTTAATCCTAGCTTTCAATGTATGTTTGTGTTGAAAATGAAGTTGATACCTTCCAAGAAGTATCCTTAAGAGTATTAAAATATGTATACCATCCAAAATCCTATGCCCAGTTTAAATACCTCAAGAGAGGATCAAGATTTGTTTGAATGTGTGAAATAATTCTCATAGCTGCAGGATGCGTGATATGTGTGGTTGAAATACCCTATCACAGGCCAGGCATACTGGCTCACACCTGTAATCCCATCACTTTGGGAGGCCAAGGCGGGAGGATTGCTTAAACTAAGCTTGTCCAACCCACCACCTGCTTTTTTTTTTTTTTTTTTTTNTTTTTTTAGCTCATCAGTTATCATTAGTGTTAATGTAGTTTATGTGTGGCCCAAGACAATTCTTCTTCCAATGTGGCCCCAGGAAGCCAAAAGATTAGACACTCCTGGCTTAAGACCAGGAGTTTGATACCAACCCAGGCAACTACAAGACAGTGGACATCCAGAGTCATGTCTACATGGGAAACAAAATATTGTAGGAAAACATCTCTCAGTTATTCCCTTTATTTCTACAACTTTCAGTTCAATTTAACAGTCTTTTTTTTTTTTTTTAGAGACAGGGTCTCACTCTGTCACCAATGCTGGAATGCAGTGATGCAATTGTAGCTCCCTGTAGCCTCAAACTCATGGGCTCAAGTGATCTTCCAGCCTCAGACTCCCAAGCAGCTAGGACTATAGGGTTACAACACTATGCCCTGAGAATTTTTTTAAACTTTCCATCGAGATGTGGTCTTATTTTGTTGTCTAGACTGGTCTGGAACTCCTGTGATAGGATATTTCAAATCACACATATAATGCACCTTGCAGTCTATGACAATTATTTCACACATTGCTTCAAGCAATCCTCCCACCTTGGCCTCCCAAAGTTTTGGGATTACAGGTATGAGCCACCACACCCAGTCAACAGTTTTATTTTTGGTGTTTTGTTTGTTTTTTTTTTTTGAGAATCTCACTCTGTCACTGAGGCTGGAGTGCAGTGGTGCCACCACTGCGACCCTCACCTCCTAGGATCAAGCAATTCTCCTGCCTCAGCCTCCTTAGTAATTGGGATTACAGGTTTGCACCATCACACCCAACTAATTTTTGTACTGTTTTTAGTAGAGACAGGGTTTCACCATATTGGCCAGGCTGGTCTTGAATTCCTGATCTCAAGTGATCTGCCCACCTCAGCCTCCCAAAGTGCTGGGATTATAGGCATGAACCATGGCACCCAGCCCACAACTCTTTAAGTATATAATTGCCAATATTTGACTTACAAACATGGCCATTTCATTTGGGTCAAGCTAATAAAAGATTCTAATTACATGCATGAAACATATAGGGGAGAAAGAGACAGATAGCAGATTTGGTCTTCTTATAAGAGGAGATGGGAATGGGATAGTCCTTACAGAAAAGAGAAAGACATGGGAGAGTTTGAGGTATGATCAGGCAGTGCTGCTCAGAGCAGTGCCATGGAACTCATCTCATCTCTTCCCTCTCAAGTTCTGGAATAGAAACAAGAGGATGAAGGGGAAGAGAAGGTTGAAAAGATAGGTAGAGGTCAACTTCTAGACAGCTTTAACACTAACCTAAAAATTAGATTTTATTCAGAGGATAAACCTGAAAAATATGGTGTAAAACCCAAACAGATGTAGACAGAGAAGTAACCCAATGCTCTAAAAAAAAAAAAAAAAAAAAAAAAAAAAANAAAAAGAGTGAGATGGATCACTAAGAGGAGACTGTATTGTGCCAGAGTAAATTGTAAAAGGGGTCTAAATTTGGACTGTGGAATAGGAATGAAGAGTAGGCAGGAGAGTCATTCCATAGGAATAATTGACAGCATTCAGTAACTGACCAAATGGGAACGCAATAATAATAACCACCATTTGATGAATGCTTTTTATGTGCTAGGTACTCTGTTTGGTACTTACCTTCCTTCTCTCATTTAATACCGCAGCCCCTATAAAGTGGATCTTACTCTCCAAATTTAACAGATAGGGGAATCTAGACTTAGGAAGTCTGCATAAAGTCACATAATCTAGTAACTGTCAAAAATTGAATTTAAATTCAGGTTTAAATAGAAAAGGGTGAACTCCTAACTCCCAGGTCATAAGGGATTCATTCATTCAACTAATATTTATTGAGCACTTAATATATGCTGGGCATTATTCAAGTTGCCTGAGCTGTATCAGTAAGCAAAACAAAAATCCTTGCCATCACAGAGGTTAAATTGAGGGTGGGAATGAGGGACAATAAACAGTGAACAAATTTATGAATTTTTTTTGAGACAGGGGTCTCACTCTATCACCCAGACTGCCATGCAGTGGCATGATCTCAGCTCACTGCAACCTCCACCTCTCAGGCTTAAGCGATTCTCCTGCCTCAGGTGCACACCACTACCGCCTGGCTAATTTTTGTATTTTTAGTAGAGACAGGGTTTCACCATGTTGGCCAGGCTGGTCTTTAACTCCTGACCTCAAATGATCCACCCTCCTCGGCCTCCCAAAGTGCTGGGATTACAGTTGTGAGCCACCATGCCCAGTCTAAATTTATGAATTATATAGCAGAAAGAAAAAAGATACTCAGGAGGCTAAGGCCAAAGGATCCCTTGAGGCCAGGAGTTTGAGGCCGCCCTGGACAATACAGTGAGACCTAGTCTCTAAAAAAATGTTTTTAAACTAGGCAGGAGTGTTGCTGCAGTCCCAGCTACTTGGGAGGCTGAGGCCAGAGGATCCCTTGAGGCCAGGAGTTTGAGGCCGCCCTGGACAATACAGTGAGACCTAGTCTTTAAAAAAAATGTTTTTAAACTAGCTAGGAGTGTTGCTGCAGTCCTAGCTACTTGGGAGGCTGAGGCCAGAGGATCACTTGAGCACAGGAGTTCAAGGCTGCAGTGATCATGCCACTGTACTCCAGTCTGGGTGACAGAGCAACATTCCATTTCCTTAAAAAAAAAAAAACAGGGCAGAATGACAAAGCAGGAACAAATTAAGACAGAGTGGGGAAGTGTTAAGGAATTAAGACTGCTGAAAAATTTGGCTCTAAACACTTGGAAAACATGGTACAAGGGGAAGGAATTGGCTTAAGAGGGAAGAGATAAGGAGTTCTCTTTTAAATAGGTTGGGTTTTTAGGTGCCATATGTCTCAATGTGGAAAATATCCCATTGGCAATCAGAGAAGATTCAGCTCCAGAGAAGGGTCCAGCTAGAGATCTAATTTGGGGGATACAAGCATAAGCCAGCTGTTGATGCTGTGGGACTAAGTTCACCCTCCTAACAGCCTTACCAAGAACTCTATCTGTGACTATGCAGGCAAACAATGGGAATTACAGTATACCAGGCTCTTTCAGAGTCCGAGAAAACAAAAGTCTTCAAAAGGTCAAGAGGAGTTGGTCCTGAGAGTAGGGACCTGAACCAGAAGCCAGGGAAAACTTTTATCAGTCCACTTGGGAGCTAGCCAGTGCTGGAAAGTACCCTTTGTGCCAGAGATGCTGTTTGTGTTTACTGTTTTCTTAACCATGTTTCAGTTTTGGATTTTTCAGGTTAATAAAATTGAAATTCATTTTTTAAAAAACACTCTTGAGAAACTGGAATTCTCTTATGAGGATCTTACAGTATTTTTCCTTTAAAATAGAAAGTGAGTTTAGGAAATACATTAAAGAGGTAAGAATCCCTAGTTCAGTATGACAGCAGGCATTACGGTGCGTAAAACATTAGTGTATCTTGCCTTCCTTGTACACAAACCATCTTTATCTGGGGAGAAAAACAACTATCCTAACATTATGTTTTGCATTTTAAATTCATTAAACAGGAGTGTGCCTTGGGGAAAGTCAAAATAGGCACAAATTTGCGACCTCGCCAGCTTGGAATTACTCTCATTAATCCATGCAACACTCGCTGCCATAAGCCCCATCTCCTCAGTTCTAGTTCATTATTCATCAAGGCTGCTTAACCTCACTCCCCATTACCCGTATTTCAACCTCAGTTCCACTTTTTTTTTTTTAGACAGATCTTCCTCTGTTACCCAGGCTAGAATACAGTGGCGTAATTATAGCTCACTGCAGCCTGATCTCCTGGGTTCAAGCCATCCTTCCACCTCAGTCCCCCAAGTATCTGAGACTAATGGCGCGGGCCACGAGGCCCACCTAATTTTATTTTTTTTGTAGAGATGGGGCCTTCCTACTTTGGCCAGGCTGGTGTTCCACTTTGAAGACTAAAAATTGGTCAGGCATGGTGGCACACGCCTGTAATCCCAGCACTTTGGGAAGCCAAGGCGGGTGGATCACTTGCAGTCAGGAGTTCGAGAGCGGCCTGACAAACATGGTGAAACTCCCTCTCTACTAAAAATACAAAATTAGCCGGGCATGGTGGCACATTCCTGTAATCCCAGCTACTCGGGAGGCTGAGGCAAGAGAATTGCTTGAACACGGGAGGCAGAAGTTGCAGTGAGCCGAGATTGCGCCCACTGCATCCCAGCCTGTGTCACAAGAGGTAAATGCCTTCTCAAAAAAAAAAAAAAAAAGCTAAAAATTGTCGGGGCTGCTGGCCAAAGGAACATCTTGCCTGGCTGTCAGAAAATAATGTTCTTTCCGGCGGCTCCTTGAACCCGCTCCCTTCGGTGCCTAAATTTAACGGCTGCAGCTGCCGCAGCTGCTGCAGCTGCAACCTATTTCCCCAGTAATAGAACGAAAGTGGCGGGTTAAAGAAGTTAGGAAGAAAGCAAGCCAGCCGTCTAACCAGACACAGGATGCATGTCAGAGACTTGTAAATTACACGGTCTATTTAGGTCACATTGGTAGGCAAATCACTATTTTGGGCCCCGAGGAAGCCTTTTCGTTCTTGCTATAGTCAATTTATTCTCCAGATGAAAGCCTCAAACCGCCACGACCCAACTTTCACCTCGTATTTTCAACCCGCTCAAGATGCAAACTTGGCGCAGGCGCACACCTTCCAAGTCCTCCCGCCCTCACCCTGCTACCCCCATAGTGGGTGGGGCCTCAGAGCTCGGCGCTCGAAGTGGCTCCAGCGCCGTGAGTTTGGCGTGCAAGAGCGGAAGAAATGCGGCTGGTACCCCGGAAGCAGTCGCTGCAACTTCCGGGAGAGGCTTGTACGCCTGGTGCAGGAGCTGCGGGGCCCAGAGATTGTGTTTGAAGTGGCGGTTCTAGCAACATGTCCCGTGGTTCCAGCGCCGGGTTTGACCGCCACATTACCATTTTTTCACCCGAGGGTCGGCTCTACCAAGTAGGTGAGTGAACCAGGTCCGCCTGTGGTCCACCTGAATTGCCCTGTCATGGTACGGCCCGGAGCTAACAGACGCGGCCCGAGTTTAGTCTGGGGCCGAAGCTGGGCCTGAACTGGGAAGGGAGAATGGCTGACACTGGGTTGGGCTCTGTGGTGTTTGCAGCCCTGTCTTGACGCAGGGATCTGGGGACTGAAGGCCTGGCTCTCTGCAGGGCGAACGGCCGCACTGCCTAGACCCAATGGAAAAGAGTTCAGGAAGGTAGGGCTGACGCTGACTTCACGAGGCCCTTTCAGTTATTGCATTGTGTCCTGACCAGGTACAAGATCTGTTTCTAAAGGGTAATTGATTCCTTAACGTCTCAACTAAAATGCCTCCTCTCCGTTTTCCTTTGTTTGCAGCATGGACTTCCTTGTCCTGTGGTTAATTCCTCACAGGCATTCCGAGCCTGCTGTGTACCAGACACTTTGCTAGTCCTAGGAGATAAAAAGATGAATGAATGTCACACCCTCGTCCATGCTGAACCTCACAGCTTATAAGAGACTGACAGATACATTAAACCGATAAAAAAAAAAAAATGAAAAGTACCAATTTACAAGTATCTGCACAGTTCAAGATATCTTTGGGAAACTGATAGAATGAGTGGCTCTCAATTGTAGAGCTGCTCTTCAAATTGGCATCCTCTTTTTAGCCATATCTGTTTGAATGCTCCCATAGTTTAAATGCTGGTTCTGAGTTGTAGATGCGGTACCGTGTACTAGTTGCTTACTGAAGAACACCTGTACTGGAAAGAAACTATCAGTTAATTCGGTATAGTAATGTATTTTGTTGCGTTGAAATGGTTTTAGGTTATGGTTATAAGCCAGACCCTTGACCTCTTGCCATAGAGAATTTAGTGTCAGGAGAGCTTGATTTACATCTGGTCCATGATAGTTTTATTTTATTTTATTGAGCTGGAGTCGCGCTCTGTCCTAGGCTAGAGTGCAGTGGTGCAATCTCCACTCACCGCAACCTCCACCTCCTGGGTTCAAGCGATTCTCCTGCCTCAGCCTTCCGAGTAGCTGGGATTACAGGCGCGGGCCAGCACGCCCGGCTAATTTTGTATCTTTAGTAGAGACAGAGTTTCACCATGTTGGCCAGGCTGGTCTCGAACTCCTGACCTCGTGATCCGTTGGCCTCGGCCTCCCAAAGTGCTGGGATTACAGGCGTAAGCCACTGGCGCCCGGCCATTGAATGAGTTTAGTAGCTCCGTTCTTGCACAATATTATAATCACCTGTGCTTGGAATCATAAGGAGAGACTTGGTCTGTAAATGAGCTTCTCTTCACCTGTAAATTTTAGAAATAGAGTTAAAGATAACTTGGAATTAAATTGCTCAGTGTATTACTGCATAGTGTATATAGTATAGCAAGAAACAGCATCATGTTGGATAATTCAGTAGCCCTTTAATTTGTATCCAATTGAAAAACATGATTAAAGACTGAACAAAGAGATAACTGTATCCTCAAAGAATTTTCATCTTTTTGTGTTTTATTCCTGAGTTTTAAATAATTTTCTTTTATTAGACTACTGCTTTCAGTGTTCTATTCGTGATTTTTAATATGTGAACAGGAGGTCATTCTGAGATCTGCACTTTGCTTCTATATACTATATTGTGAAATCCATCCATAAAGTGTAATTGTTAATGGTTCCCAGATTTGGTGAGTAGAAAGGCTGAATACAGTGTCATTGTGATACTTTTTAAAGATTTGAAAGAGAACATCCATCTGAAAACAAGTTCATTATCTAGACAGAATGATTTTAATCTCTGAATAACACACTCTATTTGCTATTCAGGGCATTAATTAGACATTGTTAGGAAAAAGAAAGTGAAAGAATAGTTAGTATGAGCAAGCAGTATAGTGGTGAAGAGCTCAGGTCCTGGAGCCATACATGGATTCAAATCTCTGCCCTGCTCCATACTAGCTGATCTGGGCACTTGGCAGGTATGTAACCTTAGCCTTAGTTTCTGTTTGCAAAATTGGGCTTGTGATAATTCTTCCTTAAATGGTTGTTTTGGGGAAATAAATAAGGCATTGTACGTAGACTGCTTAACATGTTTCTGCCACATGGCAAATGTTCAGTAAATGTTACTAGATGCTTGTTGATTCTTTGGCTCATTTTTTTTTTTTTTTTGGTCTATTAGATTAGTAGCTCTGTGTGGAATATTTCCCTTTCTATGGGTCGCTTCATGTTTAGTTCTCCAGTAAAATACATACATAATGATAATATTCTAAATACTGTCTGTTTATAACTCCAAAGACAAAGCATGGAAGGATTATAGGATTCAAGTTGTTAACATTGACAGTAGGAAAATAATATTTTTAAAATGGGATGATGACGAGGGGAGATTAATGGGAGGTAAGTATGCTCCTCATCTTCCGTACTTAGGACTCAAAAGATAAACGTAATCTGAAGTTGATAGATCAAAAAATAGAGGTATATATATAAAGTTACAATGCTTGGCCAGGTGCAGTGGCTCACACCTGGAATCCTAGCACTTTGGGAGGCTGAGGCAGGCGGGTTACCTGAGGTCAGGAGTTGAAGACCAGCCTGACCAACATGGTGCAAACCCGTCTCACTAAAAAATACAAAAAATTAGCTCTGTGTGCTGGCGTGCCTGTAATCCCAGCTTCTCGGGAAGCTGAGGCACAAGGATTGCTTGAACACAGGAGGTAGAGGTTGCAGTGAGCCAGGACTGTGCCATTGTACTTCAGGCTGGGCGACAGAGCCAGACTCTGTCTAAAAATAAAAATAAAGTTATGCTAATCATAATTATAAGCATAATTTATAATTATTAAGAACATATTATGGGCAGTTTGCTCCCAGGGAGTAGAGAGAAAGACTTTCCATTTTATACCTTTTAGTAACTATTGAAATAATTCTCTTAATGTACATATGCAAGTTGTATGTGTGTACATATATTCATGTGTTAAAAATTGTAGCTTTGAAATCTGTTTTTGGGAATTGCCCGTTGGTAGAGGGAGGACGTGGGTTGAGGGTCGGGGAAGGACTGAGGCCCTAGTTGGCCAAATACAGCTTGGGTGCTTTTAGGACCTTCTCTTCTATTTGCTGATCCTTTGCTGAATAGGTCTGGCAAAGGAGAAGAGGGGTAGTTATTGGGATTTGCTTGCCAGGTGGATGTGAGCACTGCCTGGTTGCTGCAAAGAAGGAAGCATGCTGATAGGGAACTAGAAAGAAATGGACTGGTGGAGACATACTGGAAATTAAATGTAGAATTGGCATTGTATAATGAAGCCAGAATTCCTGAGTTCAAGTCCTTGCTGCATACCAACTCTAAGAACTTTCTATCTGTAAAATAAAGATAATAACCACCTACCTTATAGGGCTTTGAGGATTTAATTAGTTAACAGATGTAAAGCACTTAGAACAGTGCCCAGTGTAGATAATAAGCACTCAATTAGTGGGGTTTTGTTTGTTTTTGTTTTTGAGACTGAGTCTCTCTCTGTCGTCCAGGCTAGAGTACAATAGTGTGATCTCGGCTCACTGCAACCTCCACCTCCTGGGTTCAAGTGATTCTCCTGCCTCAGCCTCCTAATAGCTGGGATTACAGGTGCACAACCACCACACCCGTCTAATTTTTGTATTTTTAGTGCAAATGGGGTTTCACCATGTTGGCCAAGTTGGTCTCAAACTCCTAACCTCGTGATCTGCCCACCTCAGCCTACCAAAGTGCTGGGATTACAGGCGTGAGCCAGCCCAGCTTTCAGTTAGTGTTTTCTGTAAGGGATGCTGTCAAGAAGAAACAAATGGCTGATGTAAATGAAATCAGAAATTTCACAAATGACTAAGAAGTACTTACTATTTGCCTTTTTTGCAATTGAAAAAATATTCTTATTTTAGTGCAGTATTTCTCAACCCAGGCTTCTCATGCCCTCCTTGAATCTGATTTGAAATTCAGTGCATGTGTGTGCATGCATACACATACATACATGTGCATATATACATAAATACCTATATAACTAAAAAGTGATGGGATCAAATAGTGCTGTATTTTCTTTTTTTTTTTTTTTTTTTTTTTTATAAGTGTTTTTTTTTTTTTTTTTTTTTTTTTTTTTTTTTTAGAAAGAGTCTTGCTCTGTCACCCAGGCTGGAGTGCAATGGCGC